TTTGCTTATTAAGCCAAGTATGTGCAAGGGACAGGGAATACTGAGTCACGTGGACATCTCTTTCAAAGTAAACAAAGACTGTTGGGTAAAAGTTAGCATTGGTGAGCTTTAAGGTATGCAAGTGCTGGCCCTGGTTCAGAAACGAAAATGTCAGCTCGCCAGCTGACGTCATATGGCCCAGTGAGGATCAGCCTTGGAGTCACCCCCCCCACCACCACCTCTCCCACCCTTACCCCCCGGTGCCAAGGCAGCTGGGTTTGCAGGATGCACGCTCATGGTCCTGGCCTGCAGGAGGTGGGGACTGGGCCTGAAACCCATGCACTAGACTGGGACTGTAGAATCTGCTCATGTAGTTACACATACTAAGTACATACTGAAAAGTAATAGTTTTACACATGCAATATACAAATGATGTATCATAGAATTGTACACTTGAAACATATATAATCTTATTAACCATGTCATTCCAATACATTTAATTTTTTTAAAGTAATAGTGTTTAAATGGTCCTCAGAAGGCTGTCTACCAACTTCAGGCTAGTGGTTACCCATGGGGAGAGAGCAAAAATAATCTAAAGAGAAAGAAGGTGGGTAGCGCCCTAGCGGTTTGGCTCAGTGGATAGAGCGTTGGCCTGCAGACTGAAGGCTCCCAGGTTAGATTCTGGTCAAGGGCACATGCCTGGGTTGCAGGCTCAATCCCCAGTAGAGGGCATGCAGGAGGCAGCCGATCAATGATTCTCTCTCATCATTGATATTTCTATCTCTCTCTCCTTCTCCCATCCTCTCTAAAATTAATAAAAAATATATTTAAAAAATTTTAAAAAGGTGGGTAGGGCTTTATTGGATTTTTTTAAAAGTCTGTGTTAAATATGGCAAAAAGTTAGCAACTGTTAAATTTGTGTGGCAACTGCACAGGCATCTGTTATAGCTTCACATTTCTATATGTTTGAACTATTTTACAGTTAAAATTTACCAAATACTAACATAAAATACTCTCAGAAATACCAAAAATGAAATGCGAATCCAAGGTGAAGTGTTCAAAGGAGTCACACTTCCAAAGAGTCATGACATTCCTGAGGTGAGGCATTAACAGAAATATGGATGTGACCGTGGTTATGTACTCAAGGTTTTCTACTTCTTTAGAAAAAAATTAATGTTTAACTCCAAGTATTGCAACGAGTAATGTTAGGAGAGTATCATAAAGCACATTGTTATCTGTCACTCAGCCAAACCCAAATTAGAATCAGTCAGCTTTGAAATTTCGTGACTTTCTGGGCTTGGAACTCACCACCTCCACGATGGATTAGCATTATTTTCCCATCTGAACCCTCTCGGGCAGCAGCAGTAATAACCTCATTTTTTTGTTGCTGTTAGAGGTTAGGAATGAACCTTCCTTAGTTCCAAGGAAAACAGGCCTTCCTCTCATTTCAGGGTGAGGTTTGTCAAACCCTCAGTGCTTCTTTCCAACTGATTTCCCAGGGTATTTCATGTTTCGGCTGGGGCTCCTTCATCTGGTGCTAAAAAGACAAACACAGGTTTTAATCTCCAGGGCAGGATGTTACAGGGTCTCTAGTACAGGACGTTACTGGGATGGGCGACCCACGGGCAGTTAGCAGACTCGCAGGCCAGTGCCTTTAATCCCCTTTGCAGGGGCCGCTCAGGAGCAGACAGCACTTGCTGTAGGCAGGGTGTTGAATTGGATCCAGCTTTTTGGGTAAAACCATAGGGAAGTGGTAAGCTTGAGAGGAGCTACACTGTACATTTAAGTATGTTGACGGGACAGTTTAAAGATGAATTTAAATTTTGGCAACGAGATGATTTTACAATCAACATAGGGGCTATTTTCTTCAGGAGCATCCAAATAACACCCCCACTATGGCTGAGTTATGCACCCCTTTCCCAGAAATGAATGAAGTCAACAACCCTTCGGACCTGCAGGGTGAGGTGTTACGGAGACACTCCTCACATCCCAGTCCGACTTCACCTTTAAGACCCAGATCGAATTTCCTTCTCTTGTTGATGCCGTTCTCCTTGGACTATTGTCTTCTTTAAAGAATCCCAACATTTAAAAAGAGTGGTGAGCCCTAGCCTGGGAGCTCTGATGGTTAGAGCATCATCCTAATATGCCAGGGATGCAGAATTGATCCCGGGTCAGGGCACATACAAGAATCAACCAGTGAATGCATAAATCAGTGGAACAACAAATCAATGTTTCTCTCTCTCATCAGCCCCCCTTTCTCTCGCCCTCTCTCTAAAAATCAATGAAAACTTTTAAAAATAAAATTAAAAGAGAGACAGTGGTAGAATAGAAAAAGTTCCCATGGCTTTGTAGCCGGACAGAATTAGGTCTGAATTCTGGTTTGGGCTAACTCATTGTCGGATCTCAGGCACCTCATGTCACCTCTCTGGTTTCTAATGTCCGCTGCTGAAGATGGAGAAAATAACAAAAACTACCTCACAGGGCTGTTGCGGATGAGATCGTCCAGAGGCTGGCCCAGAGCATGCCGAGTGGACCACTGTTGTCACTGGCATCCTTTCTTGTCCTTCAGGTTTCTATTCCAGGTTCGAAATGATTATTATTTTGAACTTAGAGAAGAGCTTTTAAATTTTATTTCTCAGTGTTATTGATTCCAAATATCATGCTTCACCTTAAACACAAGGCTTTTCTTGAATCTCTGTTTGATCTCCTGTGCCTCCCGTTCCCTTTTCTCCGACATCATCAAGAACAGAAACATCTTAAAACTGAAGTCAAACATCCTCAGAAGCCAAGTGTTTTCAGTCTTAAGGGACCAACCCACCCGAGGCACAGATGCCCTCCGCCAACTTCCCCGAGGGGCCTGCTGACTCACTGAGGCACCGGCATTGGTTGCGGCCAGCCCCTGGGGAACAGGGCATGCCAGCTTTGCCACACTGTGGGGATTGTAATCCCAGTAAGAAAGGCCACCAGGGCAGCCAGGGCAGTTGTAAGTTAAATCCTGTTCATTCGAAAGCTGCCAGGAATATGACCCGAGAACAAGGACCATTCTCCTATATTATTATGCCACTTTGAACACGAACAAACTTAGTTCATAGCAGGTGCTTAATACTCACTGTGTGGTAAGTAGGACATCTCTTATGTGGAGTCTTCATTTACCTCAAAACAGACTACAAGGACTCAGTGTGTATTGTAACTAGTGTAACCCTGTGTTGCCTTTCTTTATTGCTTAATATAGCAGAAATCTCAAAAACTGAAGGCCACTACAGCCCTGACTGAGATGTTCTGGTGCCAATATGTGGAAGTAAAACCACATAGAGCTACTAATAGTTCTCTAAATGTGACACTTTTCTGTCACCCCTATGCATTTTACACACAGTCCCCTGGGCCAGGAGCACAGGCCTCCCATATTCACCCACCCCTACCCTCAGCAATATTTTTCAGGATTACATTTTCCTCAAGACGCGGCCCAGGCCTCCCTTCCTTCCAGAAGCCCATGTCTCCCACAGGCTGGGCGTGAGTTTCCTTTGTGCATTTCTGTGCTACATGCTCTCTCCATTATCATTCAGGTGACTGAACTTTTGCAATATAGTCCATAAAAAAATTGTTGAGCAACAACCTACCGTAAGAGTAGGATGGAGTCGTGAAAGGATTGAAAACTAGGGAAAATAATTTCAGATTACCCAGAGGACATTCATCAGTACTCTACTTGCATAGATTCTGCAGGACTATTCTTCATTTCACCCAAATGATGACACTTGCCTTAATATCCTCAGGCATTGTTATATGGGATCCATAAAACGTTGCTGGTGTCCCTGGCACTGTTGGTGATCAAGATCACTGACTGACAGAATTTGCACTGGAAATAGACATGTTAATTAGTTTAAATAATTCCCTGGAGTAATTAATGATTTAACACTTACCTAATTAGCTAACACTTTCACCTGTCAGAGCCAGAGGTAAATGCCAGACTGGAATTTGGTCATTATACCCTAAAAAATTTTTCGAGGTACAGCATGTGATACCAAAAGAAGTGTGAAGCCTCCCACCCTAGCCAGTGTTGCTCAGTTAAATGGAGCATTGTCCCATGCACCAAAAAGTTGTGGGTTCAATTCCTGGTCAGAGTGTTTGGGAGCAACCAATTGATGCTTCTCTCTCACATCAATGTTTCTCTCTCCCTCATATCAATAAATATATCTTCAGGTGAGGATTAAAAAATGTAAGAAGCCCTGTGGTAGGTGGTGGGCATGTTGAATCTCAAAATTGCCAGTGGTTGTGGAGAAAGGGCAGCAGGTAGACCCCATTTGAGGTGGGCCATGAGGTAAAAGATGTATTATTATCATAAACTGGAAACAGTACCTACTCTCCCAAGTTATACAAGCAACACACAGGTTCAGGCTTATTTTGCCTCCAAGTTGTCATTGCCTTTTCCACGATTAGTTTTCTTGGGTATTTTTGGATAAGTTTAGGTAAAGATACAAATGTCTAATTGGCAGTAGCAGTAGCAAGATTTGGAGTGCTCTATTAGTTTCCTATTCTCTCTCCTTCTTGTAAACTTCGCTAGTTGGCCAAGATGGACTCAAGGAGGCCAACATGGAATTCAAGTTTGTCCAAAGTGACTATCACCAGGAAGAGGAGTATCTCCAAACACAGTTAAGATGTGCATTTGCTTCTTAACTGTGATGCACACTCTTACAGAGAAATTCAAGCACATTATGAAGTGCCTTGTATCTGCTGCTGTTTGGGTGTTTGTGAACATTTTAAGCGCTTGTTTGCTTGCAAGCCATGAGACAAATGTCCTTAAAGCTCTCACCAGCATAGAACTTCAGCTGATTGCCATGGGAGCTGGGAATAAAAAGAAAAAAACACACACAGGATGAAGTTCCTTGAAAGTCTTCTAGATTTGTCTGTCCCCAAATTGTACAGTAAGAAGCAGGAGAAAAGCAGTGAATTTGTGGGTTTCTTCAAAGAGACACTCTATTTTCTGAAAATATTAGACCTTATTTTGTTATTTTATTTGGATTGACCTCCAACAGCTGCTCCATTGGATTTCACGGGCAGCCTGCGGTTTTTAGCTTAATGAAGCTCTGGGAAACAGATTTGTTTAATTATCAGACCTTCTGTGTGAATTTGAACGGGCAGAGTTCAGATGAAGAGGCACTCTGGGGGCATGACTTTGCATGTTTGTCTCACTTGTGAACATAGAATGAAAACAAGTTGATGAGGGGTAGGATGGGGTGAGAAAACAAAATGTTTGGGAACTGAAAGTTCTCCCTTGTACTGGGCACATTTTTGAGACAACATGGTGGAGTTCCTGTGGAGGACGTGGATCCACATACAGTTGTCTCAAAGTAAGTAAGTAAGTAAGTCGTGTGCCACACCAGGCCCATGCTGGGATCAAGGCCAGAGGAAGAGAAAGGTGCACCTGTCTACAGTGACCAAGCTAACCAACCTAGTCAGAGAGCTAGGACGCCACACCTTCACAGGGAGCCTATCTTAGGGAAGAGCTGTTGTGAGAGCTGGGCTGTTTTGTACTATAAAAGGCCATGTCAAGGAGGATATTTTTTGAATTGGTAGGGAGTTATGCTAGGAATAAAGTTCCATTATTGATTTCAGAAGAAAATGTAAGTTTTATAAGGGAGGCTGTCATTCTAACTTGGAGCTGAGCTATTATGATTCACCTATAATTTAATAGCAACTGACTATATATTTCTTCCCTGACATCAACTGAAGTGTGACTATCCGCACACCACAAAGTATGGCTTCGATTTTACCTGCTTCCAAAAAACCCATGAGATCTGAGCAGAATACATACGTTGGGTAAGTAATTTTGATGTTTTATTTGTTTTGATTAGATGGATGTTCTTTGGATTTTATATTAAATGTTCAGAAGATCAACCTCTATCATTACATAAATGTCTTAAGTTTAGAGATGATATAGTTGGAACCTAGCTCATAATACAAAACAAAATAAATACAACGCAAATTGTCTCCCCAAAGATATTTTCATTCCTTGGTTCTTGGGTGAATCTGGCTCATCTAAGAAAGTGGAGCAATATGTCAATTATACCTCTCGCTCTTTAAAAAAAAGAAAAGAAAAGAAAGTAAAGCCAAAAAACATGCAAAAGATTAACCAACCTGCATGAGTGAACACATTCAAAGTTCAGCCGGGAGTTCCGCCTTTAATTCCAGGACCATGGGCTGAAATATCTGAGAAATGATTAAAGGGGCCTCCCCGTGCCGAAGGGAGGTTTCACTGCCTTGCAGCATATTATGAAGTGATTCCATACGCTTTCTGATAGACTTTACATAGAATTCACTTCTAAAATTCCATGTATGTTCCTCATCTCAGGGGTCGACGTAAATCTGCCAAAACTGTCTGCAAATTTAGCTCCAATTCTTGCCCCAGGTTCACAGAACATAATCGAGCATTAATCTTCAGGAGGCTTACGGAATTTTTGTGCATTCCCTCTGATTCACCGAGTTGTATCAGATGCCTTGCTTAGAGCCTCCATCATGTCATTGTTTCAGAAAATGTTCCATTTACCCATCCCAGACAAAGGTAGTCTCCTACCACGTGCATTTGCTCAGGCATGCCAAGGAAAGAGAAAAGGAAAAAGTCTGAAGATGAAGGTGATGGTAAAATAGAAAGACTTCTTCTCAGGCAGCACTGGTTACCAGTGTTTAATACTGACCGTGCTATCTCGTGGCTTGCTAAAAGAATGTATTCCCAATACCACCTCTGGCCCACATTTTAGAGAAAGGAAAGAAAATGCAAAACAAGGTTGAGGAAGAAATAGCACATATAGTCTATTTAGTAAAAATTATATATTTTGGAAAGATTGAAATATTGCAGTTGCCAGGATCATACTGGGTTGAATTTGGCCTAATGGCCAAAGAAATCTTTCCTTTGGTAAGTAATAGAGGCATCATCTTAGAAGTGCTTCTGGCCAAAACCGGTTTGGCTCAGTGGATGGAGCGTCGGCCTGCAGACTGAGGGGTCCCAGGTTCGATTCCGGTCAAGGGCATGTACCTTGGTTGCGGGCACTTCCCCAGTGGGGGATGTGCGGGAGGCAGCTGATCGATGTTTCTCTCTCATCGATGTTTCTGACTCTCTATCTCTCTCCCTTCCTCTCTGTAGAAAATCAATAAAATATATGTATATATAAAAAAAGAAGTGCTTCTGGTGAGCCCAAAGGGATACAAACCTTCTATAGACATGCCCCCCGACCCCACCCAATTCTCTGACCAAGGGATCACTAGCTATTGAAACAGACCACCAAGGAAAACTAAATAATGAACAGGATTATTATAATTAATAGTCCTAATGAATTAGCAAGACTATTATAATTAATACAAGAGAATATAGTTAATGGTTTGAGAATTTCTTTTTGAAGATAAGAAAGCTGGAATACATCAGTGATTTTAAAAATACCAAGGCCCATATCTTCTGGACAATATACATTAGAATTTTTAGGTTTGGGCTTAGCTAGGTACCAGTGCTTTTGAAAGCACCCCACATGATCCTGATACGGAGTTAGAATTTGAAATCACTGAAGTAGATGAATGGCACTCTCTTCTAGGGTAAGGACGGAGTCAGCTGGGAATCCAAAGGAGACGCATCGGAGAGGGAAAGCAGTTTGGCCGAGTCAAGCAGAAAAGTAAGAGAAGTTGGAAGAGAAAGTGGATGGCATGTTTCTCAAACTTTACTGTGCACAGAAATCACATAGGAGTTGTTTATAAGGCAGATTTTGATTCAGGAGGCCCTGCGTGGGGCCTGAGATTTTGCATTTCTAACAAGCCTCCATGGCAATGCTGCTGGTGAATCGACACACTTTTTCCAACAAGGGATCACTGGTGCATGTCCTCTTGCCTGTCACCAGGAGAGGAAAGGAGGTGTCCTTTTGCTTGTGGGCTTTGAGGCTTGTTCTGAAGTAGTAAAGTGTACTAACCTCATGGAATGCTTTATTTTTTTAAACCAGCCATGATCCACTAACTAATTAAGAATTTGTTACCCTAAATGTTTTTGAGCGGAAAATTAATAGTTCCACTTCCCGAACTTTAAATTTAATTTAACAAATAAAATTTGTTAAGACTTGGGGATTAAAAAAAGATATATGAGACAGCTTGCATGAGAAAATTCACAATTTTTCTGGAGAGACAGAAAATTAACCCTTGAAGTGCTATCTATCAGCCTTAACGTGAAATACATGCTTTAGGAGCACAGTGTGGGCTGGGAATTCATACTGACTGGGGAGGGAAGATGCTTGGGAAAAGCCTTCCAGGGGGAGGTGATATTTAAATTTGACCTTGAGGAATGAGTAGGATTCCCACATGTGAACAATGGAGGGAAGGGAAGTGAGAAAGATGCTTTAGGAACAAAGGCCTAAAAAGGGATTTTCAACTTGGGTTGCACATCAGATCACCTGAGAAGATTTCAAAAATATTTTTCAGTCTCTAAATTCAGTGGGTCCTGGGCACCAGAGTTTTTAAACTATTTTTTAATGAGCAAACGTCATTGGAAATATAGAAAAACACAAGAGTTTTGTTAAAATGTGTAGAGACATTTACTGGGAAATGGAAGGAACATGGAGCGAAGAAGGCAGATAGTTCTTGGCAGAGACGGCTTGACCCGCTGTGGTATGGGGTAATGATTATCGCTAATGATTACAGTTGTGTGTAATCACTACTGCAATACCAAGACTGAAGATGACGTGCCTTATAAATATGAATTAGATGGAATTAAGGTCATTCCTACAGCAGCGGTCAGCTCACCATCTTGCATTATTTTACTGAGAGAGAGGAAGGAAAGTAGCCCAGCTCGGCTCATATAGGCCTCAGGACAATCTAGCAAAGCAGTTATTTTATTCACTATCCCCACTTTACAGATGAGGAGACTTTCAAAGAACAAAGATAAAATAGCTTACCCAAGGCTGCACAGTGAGTACATATATGGTTGAACTGGTGGTGGAACCCAGGCAATCTGACTACAGATTCCAGGAGCCTATGTTGCACAGCCTCCCATGCAAAGAAGGAAAAGGACCATGAGGGCCAGACAAGAACGGGGTAGAAAAGACGGTTCTGTAATCTACTGATTGTAAAATCTTGCTCAAGTTTCTCAACTTCTGCAAATCTTGGCTCCTTCACTTGTAAATTGCATTTGTTAGTATTGCTTACCTAATAGAATGTTTATCAAAACTATACGTAGTTTTTATGGCAGTGTGCACTTTTCATGCTTAAAGCTATGCCTGTGTGCACAGAAAATATTAGCCATTATTATTATTATTATTATTATTATTATTATTAGTGGTGCTGCTGTTTTTATTATAGTAGCATAATAATATTGGCTTCATGACAAATCATTCAATCTTAAATGAAAGTTTGTGTCCAATATTTGGGCTAGCGGTTATCATAGGCTCTCTCTCTAAATTTCTTCACATCTTTTTTTTATGTTATTTTTCCCAGAAAAAGTTTTGTTCATGTTAAAAATCTTTACCTGGATTCTATGGATGAAGACATTCTCTATCACTTGGATTTAGGAACAAAAACACACAACCTACCAGCAATGTTTGAGGATGTAAAGGTAAAATATTTCTAATTTTGGGAAAAAACTATCATGTTTCCCCTGCTGATATATTTTCTTTTATTTGCTCATCATAAACCTTACTCATTCAGCTGGTAAAATGTCAGAGGTCCCAATAGGAACTGATGTTCATTCTCTGAAGCAATTACATATATATATGTAATAAAGGCAGCTCATGTCCATTACTTAAAACTGGGAAAATATAACAAAACAAAGCAATAATTTTTAAAAATACACCTTAAAAAGCTCCTATCATCTAAACATAGACATCAACCTATTTTCTTTTCTCCCAATTCTTTTTAATAAACAGATTTTAAAATAGTTGGAATTATATAATTGCATCCTAAATTTTTTACTTCACTTTGTCATTAACATTTTCCCCATATTATGTGATTTTCTTGGAGACACATTGTTTATGGAAGTCAAGTGACTAAGCCATACATTATATAGTCTACTTTTGACCTTTATGTAAAAGTATTTTCTATTATAAACACCATTGAAATGGATACTAGGTGTACCGGTTAATAATGCGGAGTTTTTCAATAAATGGAGTTACACATATGATTATATATATGTGATTTGATATGTATGCTATTTCGTTGTATTGACAAGAAGCTTCAAAAACATCATATATCAAATTTTCTGAAGGTGTTAACATCATAGATATTTTTATAAATGTTGAATTTCATGCCAAAAAAAGAGCATTTGCGTGAAGTTTTTTTAATTCATTACTTTATTTTGAAGAAAAGTGCTGCTGAAAGTTATCGTATACTTTGAGAAGCTTATGGTGAATATGCTCCATCTCAAGATACTTGTGAATGCTGGTTTAAATGCTTTAAAAGCGATGATTTCAATGTGAAAGACAAAGAACGTCCAAGTTAACCGAAAAAGTTTGGAGACCAACAATTACAAGCATTATTGGGTGGAGATACATGTCAAACTCAAAAACAATTTGCAGAAAAATTAAACGGTGCTGAGAAAACAATTTCTGATCATTTACAAGTAAGGGGAAAGATTTTGAAGGAAGGAAAATGGGTGCCACACCATCTGAACGAAAGACAAATGGAAAACCAAAAAGTCATCAGTAAAATGTTGCTTCAATGACACAAAAGAAAGTCTTGTGACTGGCGATGAAGAGTGGATTTATTGTGAGAATCCCAAATGCACAGAATCATGGGTTGATCCAGGTCAACCATCAATATCGACTACAAGGCCAAATCGCTTCGGAAAGAAGACAATGTTCTGCGTTTGGTGGGATCAGAAAGGTGTGGTGTATTATGAGCTTTTAAAACCAGGTGAAACCGTTAATACTGATCGCTACCGACAACATATAATCCATTTGAACCACACTTTGATCGTAAAATGACCAGAATGGGCCAGAAGACACCGCAAAGTAATTTTGCTTCATGATGACGCACCATCACACACTTGAAAACCAGTTAAAGACACATTAAAAGATCTTACCTGGGAAGTATTAAGCCACCCACTGTATTCACCAGACCTTGCTCCTTCAGATTATCACTTGTTCCAATTGATGGCACACACATTTTCTGAGCAGCACTTCAAAATGCACGAAGAAGTAGAAAATTGGGTCTTTGAATTGACTGCCTCAAAACAAGAAAAGTTCTATTGGGACAGTATCCCCAAATTACCTGAAAGATGGGGGAAATGTGTAGCGATGGATATTACTTTGAATAAAGCACTTTTGATGTTTCTCTTGAAATTATTGTGTTTTCCTTGATTACAAAATCCACATTATTAATGCAGATTAACTATTAATGGGTTAATAATATGAATTAACTGTTAACTGGTTAATAATGTGGATTAATTGTTAACTGATTAATGCAGATTATTAACCAGTTAATAATTAATCTGCATTATTCGCCAGTTAACAGTTAATCCATATTATTAACCAATTAATAATTAATCTGCATTATTAACCAGTTAACAGTTAATCCATATCATTAATAGCATTATCTTCCAAGGAAAGGAGAACTGTGGGTGTGTAAAACTTCAACCTTAAAGATTTTGACAATTATTCTTATTTCTTACTATATTCTTTAAGTTTTCACTAGCTGGTATTGCAAAATATCAGCGGCTTAGCACAATGTAAGTTTATTTCTTATTTATATCAAGTACAAAAAAATGGGTGTTCCCACTTGATATGTGGCTTTCCTCCAACTGATGACTCAGGGACCCAGGTTCCTTCCATCTTGATGCTCTGTCACCTTTGCGCAGTGACTTGCAAATTTTCTCTGAGTGTCAACACCCATCCAGCAGACGGGAGAGGACAATCTGTGGGATCACCAATAGGAGATTTCTATGGGCTAGCACTGGAAATGGCACCCATCACTTCTGCTCACGTTCTAGTGGCTGGACTGAGGAAGATGGTCTTCTCTAATTGGAAAGGAGGCTGGGAAGTAGAGTTTAGTTCAGGGGTGGGCAAACTTTTTGACTCGAGGGCCACAATGGGTTCTTAAACTGGACCGGAGGGCCGGAACAAAAGCATGGATGGAGTGTTTGTGTGAACTAATATAAATTCAAAGTAAACATCATTACATAAAAGGGTACGGTCTTTTTTTTTTTTTTAGTTTTATTCATTTCAAACGGGCCGGATGGCCCGCAGGCCATAGTTTGCCCACGGCTGGTTTAGTTGCATTCGCAGCAAGAAGGAGAAGCAGCTTTGGTGACTGTCATACTGACTGGGATGCATCAAAATTTAAAAATATAGTGGAGGAGCATTAGGCCTTATCTACTCAAACTCAACCTCTCATATGTCTTTTATAAAATTACCATCATCACCTCTAATGTCTCCCTAGAAATTTCAAGCAACATGAAAAAGAATTACCCTATAACACTCTATAATACACATTTTAGAAGTGTTTATACTCCTTTGTAAACATACAGCATACCCAAGCTGCAATAGGGCCAGGTTAATAACAACATGGCAAAGGTAAGTCTTTTGAGATAGCAGACATATTTGAAAGTGAGTTAATACTGGCAGCCTATAGCAAAGCACTTAACACATTTTTGTAATGCTTCAGACTTCTTCCCAATGCACTTTTATCTTCTTTGTTGAAACCAGGACAAACGATAATTTCGTTTGGACGTAAATCACGGTAAGCGTCTCTTAAGGTCAGTGCTGGTTGGTGGTCCTCAGCCGTATTTTACTTCTCATTAAGGCAGCCAGACTTAAAATTGTGGCTGGGGGTGCTATTTAGTAAGTCTGATTTAAGGGTAAGGCTTCAAGAATGAAAATGCTCTGTTTATACCTATCATCTTTATGTCACTAGAAGCATTCAGAAAGTCCTGTTGATTACAGCAATATCTAAAGTTCAAAGAAGAATTCAAACTGTAAGCTATTCTAACATCTGTTTTTGGTTTTATGGTCAATCTGAATAGTTGTAATTTACATTCACTGGCACTATACAGTGAGGTTATTTTCAAACTACTGTATTTTGAAAAAAAAAAAAAAAGAAACAAAAAAACCACCATCTTTGTACTTAGAACTTGAGCTAAGTCTTAATTGTCCATACCAACAGAAGGAAAAATTTTTATAAGTAATCAATAATAACTTAGAAACTCACTTTAGACCATGGTCTTACTCTCTTTGCTACCCAGCCTGTATGGCTCACTCCCACTGCAGTTCATTACCAACTTTAAGCCCCATCAGGGAAACTCATCAGAAGCCACAGAAAAGACAAAAATGAGGATAGAAGAGAAGCAGAGGGCGGATAAAAGGATAATTACATCCCATAGTTGAAATTGGAATATTGCTAAATGGAAACAGAACACATCATGTAACCAGACCACCCAATAGTCATAGTAAGTCATTTGTGAATGGGGGTGCCTACTCTACAACCTCAGTTCGGTATTTCCTTAGGCAGATATTCTTTCTCCCTGTGCGTGCCCTCACCAGTAATCCCTCTGATCCTCTGCCTCGTGCTGCCCACATCGGCCAGGCGCCACCAACTGCCCTTTTCTCACTGGACTTGAACCAGCTTCTTTTGTGCTAAGTTCTGCAATACAGAAACAATAAGCCAGCTCAAGAGCAGGGCAGGAAACTGCTACACGATATGACAAGTTGTACTTACCATTTGTCGAATGCTCAGAAGGCACCTGGCTTTGTACAACGTCCTCTGCCATAGTCGATCCTATTTTCTCCTTACAAAACCATCCAAAAGGTACTGTGTTTTCTACGTTGGAGATGACAATCAGAGGCACATAGAGAGGACATGGGTGACACTCAGCAAGTTGCTTAGTCAGTGATGGGTTTGGGTGCAAAGCCAGATTTATCTCCAAGGGCAGGCCCTTCACCACTGTGCTGCCTTATCTGTCACTGAGCTTCCGCAGGCTCTGCACCTCCCCCTTAGATGCCCTGATGGCTGTGCTACCTCAGGCCTCTGACACCTGGTACCCACCAGGCGGGCAGCTCATCCATGATGATCCTCTCCCACATCCACCGCTCCCACCCCTCATGGATCCCTTATAGGCTATTACACAAGTGCCTCTAAGACAATTTTATAACCACATTTTATTAGATGTGACACTCTTGACTGCCATGCCTGTTGAAATTCCAGAGAAGTTAAATTGTGAATACAGCAAAACCAAATTACTGGAGCTGATGAAATACTGTAGTGAGATTTCCAGTCCACAATAAGGCCTGTTCCAGGAGAATTTCTTCTGAGTGAGAAGAAATTTTTGATGTGATTATTTTTGTAAAGCTTTACGTGAACATAGCACATTTTACAATAAAAACTTCTGACTGGGGATTTGGGATGAAGAAACATATCTACACCTTATAGTTCCCCTTTTGCTATGTTACTTGCATCCCCCGTGCTCAGTATTTACTTACCGAGCATTTAGCCTGCTAATGCCCAGCAGGAGGCTGCTGATGTCACCTGAGGAGCTCGCCCATGTTCCCTGCAAACTAAAACACCAGGAAACACCGACTTGAACAAAAGCAACACTTGCTTTGATTTTGTGATGATCTTTTTCTTTACTAATTAAGCACCACAAACTGTGTGTCTTAATGACAGGTTAATGATGCAAATTAGTTAACTCACGAACATAACCCATAACATCTACACATACTCTTAGATAAGTTACTAAAAAATAAAGTAAAATCATTAACGTTGAGAGCTGCCCCTCGGTTCTGATCCCAGTCATTAAGGCAGGTGGTTGCTACTTTTTATCAACAGTTTGTCTCGTTGGTGGGAGCCCCAACAGGATGAACGCATTTGCACTGTTTATGCATAAGGAGCTCAGGTTGCAGGACAGCGGGGAGGACAGAAAGGACATTGTGCGGGGACAGACAGATACTGTATGTACAAAATCGGTCCCGTGCTCTCCATCAGCGTAAGTACTCCAGGCCTGCACTCCGGTAGCCATCAGGGCTCGCAGAAAAAGAGGAAGCTTCTCTGCCTGGGGTTCTTTCCCCTCTTGCTTTGCCTTCTCACGCAATTAAATTAAGTTTCCAGGTGTGACATTCTTTGCTGGAAAAAGTCCCAGGGGCAGAACATAGCATTCTGTGTCACTTTAGTTTATTAGTTACCACTTAGCTACTCACATTAGGGGAAAAAACTCTCAAAGCACACTTCCTTTCTTTAGTTTGTGACCGATTAAGCCACCAATAATTTCTTTTCCTCTGTCCCTTCTCCAGCTTTGGGAATTTTGAGCTCTAAGTTTACAGGGGCCAATTTTCAGGCTTGCCTGAGGCTGCCGTCTAACACTGCAATAAGCCGGCTGAAAAGCTGGTCATGCGTTTCCACAGAGCTCCGGTGAATTGCTCTCCTGTATTTAGACTATGCTGACAGCTATGGGCATACAGTGTCCTAAAACAAAATGGAAGTGGATTAACTTGCAGTTTTAAGGAACTCATGGACCATTCCCTCTGGGACTCAGGGTGGCACACCCAGAGGGCAATGGATATGTGTGTGCATGGAGCTTGCCTTTCTAAGTGTGTCTCTGCCACAGAGCTGGATTCTGGAAGAATAGCTCGAGTCTGTCACATGGCCGGACACTGCAGTCCTCACAGAGGGCAGAGCCAGGCTAGGGAACCACGAAGAGTCCTCTGCGGAGTGTGACAATTCTAAGGAGCTGAATCATATGTGACTCCGGCACCAGGGAAGAGCCAGCCATCCTTGATTACTGGCGAGGGAAGGAAGTACCTGGCGAGGGAAGGATGGTCTTGCACGGCTGGAAGCCTGGAGTAAAGAAGGGAAAATTACCCAACGCCCGGGGGGCCTCTAAGTTCATCTCCCATCTGGGTCAAGAATGCCTGAAACTTGCTTTGGGCTCAAATGAGAGAATCAATTCATTTGTTTATTCAACAACTATAGAATATCTACAATGGAAGGAAACTCAATATTGTTTGATCTAGGCAAATGTTGTCTTACTAACTTTTGTTTGACATTTAGACTACAACTGTCTTTTTTTTTTTCTTGCACGATGAATGGGTGAGGACAAAAAATAAGGTTTCTAAAACTGTGAAATTATTGTAAACCAGCAGTAAAACTTAAGAGTAAGGTATAAAAACAGCAGTAACATGGATCATGCCCAGAGGTCAGGCGATTCGAAATGGGCCTCCCTAGGCATCCAGAGGATTTCCAATTTAGGCCCCTTCTTTGAAAAGTCTTTCTCTTCAGCAGCTGAGGGGTGTGTGTGTGTGTGTGTGTGTGTGTGTGTGTGTGTGTGACAGAGAGAGATACTTTAGCAGAAACACACAAGCCCATTTGTCATTTTGCTACCATGTCACATAATAAGTGATCATTATAAACCTATCACATATCTGATTTAGAAGGAACCTAATAGATCAAATAATGGTTCGTTGCTTAATGTGCAGCTGAGCAAAAGAGATTTAGAGAGTTTGCTCTATAGTGGCAGAGCCAGGGCCAAAGCCCACACATGTTCATCTTGGGCATAGAAATTAATTCAGGTTTGACTCGTGTCTCCAGGAGACTTACAGTGCTTTTGGAAGTCAGGGCATATTCCATGGAAACCGAATATGGGAACCTCAGAGGCTCAGATTTGTCATCGTTTAATATTCTTGATGACGAGAGGGAGGGAGCTCAGGCGAGGATACCCGGTCGTGGCTGCAGTGGTTTTCCTGACTTGCTAACGAGACCATCAGTGCAGACATCACCTGCTGCCAAGATAACCCTGGTGCTTTCGGCACCCGAGCCTCTGTGCCCAAGGGCAGAACTAGCACACACGTGACCCTCTGGTGCTAGGCGAGGCATCAAATGGCCTCTGATTCCGAACTCAGCTCCAGCCACTGCAAATTCCACATGAAGGATCGTTCCGGAGAGTTAGTAGGACATAGTGATCACCAGGAGTTGCCAAATCCTCTTGTTGGCCCCTCTTCTGGTGACATTGACTGTCCCATTCCAAATGCTGAGGAAAACCGGGATTGTGGTTGTGACCTGTCGCACTTTACCCTCAGCTGCGCCTTCACTATCCACTCTACATTGCTGGATCTGGATGGAACCCACATGTCTACTCTATGTTCCAGAGCTCGCACAGAATTTGCAGCAAACGGGCAAGGCCACCTGAGGGCAACGCCGCGGATTCACCATTTCATTTAGTGGGGTGGAAAGGGACTGATCCCCTGGCAGCCAAGTTTGTATTTCCTCGATATCAAGTCAATCTCGGGAAAAAACTCTATTTCGCAGGCTCAGCATAATGAGCCCAGAGGGGAGACGAGCAGGGGCACTGCCCTGACACACCAGTACACCGTGCCATCGTGGGCCACCCTCCTTCCGCTCCCAACGACCAGGCTGCACTCAGCTTACCTGGCAGGGAGCTGCCGCTCGCTGGTGCTCACAGATGGGCACATCTATCAGCGTGTCATGTAGGCGTCATTTAGAGCTGACTTACGGTTTCCCCAGCTTTGGCAAAGTCATAATGATTATGTAAATTTCTCTGAGGGCTGTTAACTTGTAATGAAGAAAGAAAATATGTCCTGTGCATATATCAGTTTGTGAGATGTAGAGTGACGTTCCCTTTCTCTCAACAGCATGGCATGGGGATCCCCTCCATTTCGATCATGCTGCATGAACTCATCAAATTACTGCACCATGCCCAGTGCTGTGATGTCACCATGATCAGAATGGGTACATCAGGGGGAATAGGTAAGATGTTTGACTTCTACTGTTAAATCCCAGGGATTGTTCCCTGCAAAGCAGCTTCCAAAAGACACCAACATTCCCCAAACCCAGCAGAAATCCAGATGGGCTAAGGAGTGTCAGGAAGCTCAGCTTGAGGACATTTAACGAAATTAAAGAAATATTTTCTTTTTATCTCCCTTTTTTTTCTCCCCATGGAAAACTGGAGTGGACTTAGGTGTTCTTATGGGGAAGAGTGGAAGAATTGCTAAGGAATATGTTTTCAGGATAAGAGAAAGTTTTGAGGGTTACAGTAAATTTTGAGGTGTAGAGATTTCATAAGTGACAGAAACAAGTGCTTTCAAGTAAAAAAGAAATAATCACTATTAATTGCCTTATTTGTCAGCTAAGTAAGCACACATCATAGGAACACATTGTGTTTAGCTCATGCTGGTGACTGCATCCTTTTTCTTGGCTGTTTCTTTTCCTCATCAACACACCAGAACAGGCCACCCTGGGCCTTTAGGGAAGGGCCAGCTAGCGCTCCCTCAAGTCTTCCCAGAGCTTCCCCTCTCCTTGCCTCCTGGCTGCTCAGGCCTCTGGGAAGGGCCTTCTTCATGCTTTCACCTTGAGCTGAGGTCAAGTTATTTTTTCAAGCTTTTCTTCAGGAGCAGATTATGCAAGGGGCCATTTTACTATGTCGCCATGTGCAGATACAGTCAGAGCATTGTAACTGGAACGTTTGGCTGACAGAGTGACAAGACTGAAGGAAAATTCTAAAAAGGGCCAAGATTTTTGTCTGAGAACTACACATTTTTGGAGCAAGAGGGGACCTTTAGAAATCCTCAAACAAAACACTAGAGAATGACTTGTCCAGTATCATGGAGCTTCAGGTGGCTGGGCCATGCTTCCCCAGAAACAGGCATAATTAGAAAGACTGGGCTCTTCCCACAACTGTGGTCCAGGAATATAGTCCACCCGAGGCGCTCAAAGGTGGGACTAAAGTGAAAGGACTTCTGTAGATATGCATCCCAACAGAGGGGAATGTGAGCATCAGTGCCAGATGAGCTATCCTTCCGGATGCCTTTCTTTTGGCCTCTGAAAGACTTTAACTAGGATACACATGTCCTAACACATCTAAATATTAGCAAGACATCGTTTTGATGCCCACATTTTTAACTTCCTTCTCAATCATTTCCTATTCCTAGGATATTTCAAACAATTCAAGGAGCCACTTGTTTGATTTATGTAAAAAGTGTCTGACCCACTAAAGCTCATTCATCAGAGCCCACCTTGGGTCCCTAGGTGGATCTCCTAAATTAACCCCATGTTGATCAACACTGAAAGTTATAAAAACCCAGAAGGATATGGCTGTGCTCGATAGAAGGCCAGATAGTAAGTACTTAAGGTTTTGTATTATGGAAGCAACCATAGACAACACGTAATGAGCGAATGTGGCTGTGATCCAAGAAAACTTTATTTACAAAGACGGTCTGAATTTCGCCCATGGATTGTAGTTTGCAGATGTCTGCCCTATGGCATCTCTATGGAAGCATTTGCTCATTTGATACATTTTTATTGAGTATCTACAATGCGATAGGCATAACGCTAGAACTGGGGAAACAACAGTGAACAATGCTCTTGACTTTATAGAGCTTATGTTTAATCAGGGCCATAGGCAAACAAATGAGTAATTACAAAAAGTGAGAAGAATGTTAGAACAGGAGTCTAGGGCACTGCCATTGTATAGTCCCTTATTTTGGCTCTAAACAGAAATCAGAATGGGTCAAAGACTAGGTTAAAAGCTGGCCCTGAGGAAATTTACTGTCACCTACCTATGCTGCCTTCTTATCCCCGCTGTCCCCCCTCCTGAATTCAGACCTTTTGAAGGAAGTGACTTAAGCCCACACCTGAAGAATGACTTAGTGTTAGTCTGATGAAAAGGTGTGGGAGGACTAAAGAGCATTCCAGCAGGGAGAAGAACAGTCCAGAAAATGGTTTCTTAAGTCCCTGTGACTTAGTTACTAAGGCCCATGAGCAAGCCAGACTTCGTAGCCCTGGAAGGAAGGCCAGGAGGCCCAATTTACATGGGGTCAGAGAGGGGAGGGGGATGATGTGAGGAGAATCAGAAGGAAGGGGGGATATAGATGCAAAGAAATTACAGCAATCAGGGAGATACAGAGAAGATTAAATATCAAGTAGTCACATCATTTTAGGCAAGCTACTTGCTGGCAGGCTCATTTAGTTTATTCCTGACCTAACTTATTCAAATTTGAGCCTGAAGGCCAATACTAATTTGCATGTCCAAGAGTCATGTTTGTCTTGAAATCTAAACCCCATCACATTGTAAATGTGAATCCGGGAAGACAGCACATGCAAATGCCTGTTCTGAATGTTATTATTTAATTGCATTTGGAAAAAAAAATAATTTCAAGGATGGAAAGAGGGAGAACCATTAGCACTGAGCATTAATTAATGTTGGCAGAATTGATTACATACTCTGTGTCAAAGTAACCACTCATTTATTCCCGCATCCCAGGGGTCGCACCGGGGTCTGTTGTAATAACAGACACAGCTGTGGACTCACTCCTTCTTCAAGCCCAGATTTGAACAGGTTGTCTTGGACAACGTTGTCACCCAAAGTACTGAACTTGACAAGGAACTGGCGGAGGAACTATTCAACTGCAGCAGAGAAATTCCCAACTTCCCAACCCACACTGGACATACGATGTGTACATATGATTTTTATGAAGGTGAGAAGAATTTATAAATTGCGAGAGCAACTCTTTGTTATTCAAACCCATCATTTATATTAAAACCTTCACTTTAAAAATTTTAAAGTTGGGGATTTAAAAAGAGACTGAAACAGCCTTTTTAACTTCCTATAGCAGAGGAACGTAGGACTAGAACGAGCAACAGAGAAACACCCATAGTGACTATGTATTGAGAGTGGGTTAAATCCTCCAAGAACAAATTGAATACTAAAATGCAATTAATGATGTTAGCAAAATCTTCTCTCTGTTAAAGCCTTTCATTTCAATGGATGACTCTGGGAGAAGGGCAGTGTGCTGATTCTGTGTTTCTGCCATTTTGGGGTACAATCACTTACAGCACGAAGTGACCTGGTACTCAGGATGGGTGGTACCGAAGTTATCCGTTTTTCTCTCGGTGACAAAGTGTTCCCAAATCAAGTTGAGGAGCAAACTGAAGGTGACTGCTGAGTAGCTTTTACAACAAGGGATGAGAAGCCAGGAGAATAAAGTGACAAGGGCAGACCCTGCTCATTCCAAAAAGAAAGAATCTAACCGGGGGTGGTACCATTCCTTGGAGGGCATTCTAGAAAAACTGTAGTGTGGTTGTGTTTTAGCATGTTCACCAAAGTACACATTATTTCAAACTTAGGCTATTATATTACAATTTTAAAATTACCTATGGATATAGGCTATAGTATCTGTAAATGTTACTTCGGGTTAGTAACATTTTATTTTATAACCTATTATTATAAAACAGGAGGCATGCTGGGTGTGATAGGGTGGAAACTGTCATAGATTTGGCCGCTTCATTGGGAGGGTCAAGGGTGGGTATAAGGCAGATCTTACAAATGACAGCCCGTTGGAGCCCCTATTTTCTTTGGTCTGCACAGAATTTTTAAAATGTGAATTATTTTGCCAACATTTATAGTTTCTTGAAATTTCACATGAAAATCCATAGTTTGGGCTCCTTGAAATACCATAGCATTAAAAAATTTTAAATAATGCACGGCAGCCTGGCAAGCCCAGGGGCAAGACACCAAGGAGCACTCAGCTGACATTCAATGAAGGGGAGGGCGGCGTCTCCCTTCAGGTCCTGCAGACCTCACTGACATCACCTGCTTGGCTTCGGGAACATCTGAGTTGGAATTGCTTAAAGATCACTATATTAGAGGGGCTGGCAGGCAGCCTTAAGGAGGAAGGGACAAGGAGAATCAGACAGCCGGGGGGGAAGTAGCCTGAAAGATTAAAAGCGAGGAAAGGAGGCCAAACAGAGGACTGTGCAAATAATGATGGTGGCAGAGTGCCATTGGCCTCCCTGCTCCAACCCAGGCCATCCTTGGGCGTGTGGTGGGGAGAAGTCTGTTCCCAGAGCCTGCAAGGTGGAGGAGGAGTTAAAGCATTAGATTTTTTCCACCTCCTTCCAGCCCCACTAATTGATACAAGAGAGACTAAGTGATAAATGAACACCGGGAGCATCACAGAAGGGAAAGGTGATCACCAAAGGGTGCAGGCAGCTTAGAGCTGTGTGGAGAGAAGAAGGTGGACACATTGGTACCATTGTCACGATGGGTAGATGCAGAGTTGCAGTGTCCAAACCGTGGTCCTGCTCCTCAAGGAGCTCAGAGCATCACTAAGGTTCGACGTCTCTTCTCCCCAGCTCCTGGCCCCGGGCCATCCCCCAGTCCCGGGAGCCAACCAGAGATTTTCCTCAAAGGACAGATCTCTCAGTGACCCTCAGGTTCAACGTTTCCTCTTTGAAAGTAGCAAGTAATCTCTGGAGTGACAATTTGGCACTGCGTGAGTATCTTGTAACCCAGCTCTCTTTTACCCAACGATTTTGGCCTGGGTTACAAAATGATGTTTTCTAATTCCATTATCCCTGGGCACAGTGCTGGTTGCCATGGCCACCTGCCCCAGAGCCAGGGCACTCAGCACCGTGGACACTGCTCTCTATACAGGGGACACTGGAGTTGGGCACAGCCTTGCTCCCGGTCCAGTGATAGGAAGACTCGGCCAGCGGGTTTGTCCTACCTGGGCGCAGGCCCAAGAGTCAGAGTCAGCTGTGGAGCACTCAGCTGACAGCAAGCCTCTTGGTGGTGCCGCTGCCACTGTCCTCATCAGGTTGCTCACTGTTCTCCGTCTCTTTCAGGCCAGGGTCGACTAGATGGAGCCCTGTGCAGCTTTTCCAGAGAGAAAAAGGCAGATTACTCGAAGAGAGCACAGATAGTTGCTGTCAGGAATATTGAGATGGAATCTACAGTGTTTGCAACCATGTGTAGACGCTGTGGTCTGAAAGGTAAGTTCTTCATGAATGCCTACTGCGCAAGTCTCTTCTTTTATAAAGTTACTTTCACTCTGCAGGAGAAGGAAAAGCTAAAGAGTCCTTTAGGTTGAATGCATACCTTGCAATTGTTTATAATATGGATTATCTCACAACATCTTGTGAGTGGGCAGGATGTTATTCCCATCATGCAAATGAGGAAACCAAGCCTTAAGGGTCAAAAGCAAGTTGCCCAAGGTCACCAGCCAGTGGGTTCTGTAGCTAGGATGTGACAGAAAGTTCCACTTTCTTCATCTGGGTAGTGGCTGCTATTTTCTATTACAATTTAATTTATCAAGACTTGACACAAATAACATATTTCAAAAATAGTGAGTGGAGTAGTGGTGCATTTTTTAAGTTAATTTGCATACATTTTTGCTTTTTTCAACTTTCTATTTTGAAAAATTTCAATAATACAGAAAATTGAAAGAATAGCTTAATAGATACCTATATGCTCTTTACCAAGATTCAATAATTTTTAATATTTTGTCACATTTGTGCATGCTCTCTAAGTGTATATATATGTATATATACATATATTATACATATATATGTATGTGTATGTATATATATATGTGTGTGTGTGTGTATATATATAAAGCACCCCTATTTGCCTTTGCTCCTGAATCGTTTATAAATGAATTGTAAACATCATGCCACTTAACTCTTGTACCTCAGCGTCATTTCCTAAGAATAAAAATATTCTCCTAATGACCACAATACCATATCAAAACAAAACAGGCTAAAAAAAATTAAATGTTTCATAACAAGACTTCACATCCATCCCATATTTAAATTTTTCTAAAAGTATCTTTTATAGAATTTTTCCTTACCCAATATCAAATTAATTTTATACATTATATTACTTAATTGTTATATCTCTGTAGTTATTACATCTAGAATATTCACTTTACTTTTCTTTTTTCTCAAGACAGTAGGTTTGTTTTGTGTGTGTGTGTGTGTGTGTGTGTGTGTGTGTGTGTGTGTGTGTTTGGTTTTTAGTCCAGGCTGTTATCTTGTAGAATATCCAATGTTCTAGATCTGCCTGTGTGGTTCACCATGGGGTTTCCCTTGCTCCTCTAGGCTGCATTTTTCTTGTAAAGTGGAAGTGAGGTCAAGTGACTTGATTAGATACAACTGTACAGCAAAAACACTTCAGAGTAATGGAAACTCTCCATTGCACCGCATCAGGAGATGTAATGTGAGGGGGTTCCACTATTAGTAATTTGGTGGGGCACCACTTGGTTCAAGTGGTAACTGCCATCTCACCCCATTGAAAAGCTCAAGTCTTCGCTTTGTAAATAGCAAGTAATCTCTGGGGTGAGAGATAATCTGGCACTGTGTGAATACCCTATAACCCGGCCATCTTTTACCCAATGATTTTACCATGGGCTGCAAAATGATGGTTTTTCTCACTCCACCATTCCTACTATGTTTATTAGCTAGCACTCTGCTTTAAGACGAGCTTTCCATCCTCACACACATTTCTGCCTTTATCTCTTTTTTCTTTTTGGTTGGGATGAGTCATTGTTGTATTGTGGATTTTGTCCAATTCAATGTGTTATAAATGGATCTGTCATTATTTTTTTGATACTCAAATTATCCCAAATTTGGCCAGGAAGAAGGCCCTCTATTGCATCCCCTTTTTTTGTCCCTTTGAAGTAAACCTATTAGCTCTTGAGAATTTTCTCACTTTCAGGCACAACAGGACACCGAGGCACCAGTTGCATTTTCCTTGCCTCAAGTCTGGAATCAGCCATTTCTCCAGCAAGTTCTTGTCCCTTTTAGCGGAAAATGATATTAAGAAATCAAATGGGTGCAGCACATATTTTTATTTTTGGTGAAATTATTCCAATAGAAACACCAACCTTGGACCAGCACCAAGAATACTTATTGAAGTAAAACGTAACTTTCATGAGCACTAGTCAGTATAACTATTCTTTCTGATTTTTAATTATTTCATAGCCATCTTTCAGATTTAATTTTTTAAAAAATTTTGATGGAAGAGAGGAAAGCTGCAAAGTGAATAAAGTATTCTTTATTAAGTTGACTATGAAAGCCTAAGATCTATAGCATAATAGCACCATCTAAAATAATGGTTTTGATGTCCAAGAAAATGTTGGAGCAACTTTTTTTTAGAACTTACAGTTTTGCGTTTCACTCAGGGACTATCTTTTTTCCAGAAAAAAAATATGTCATTGATTCAAATGTGTTTTATAGTGTGTCTACTGAGTGCATGGCACAATTACCAGGCTAGTTTTTAAATCAGATTTTGACTGATAAGATTTATCTCCATCATTTTCTTCCTGGACAAAGAAGGAGTTTCTTCTGTGCATCAGCAAGTGGCGTGAGTGCCCAAGCCCTGGGTATATAGCAGTGGACAGCATAGATAAAATCTCCGTCTATGGAACCTATTGAGAGAGAGACGAACAACAAAGACTAATGTTTAATAACTCAGTGACACCTCAGATGCTGAAGAGTGCTATGGCTAAAACAAGGCAGGGAAAGGAACAAGATGACCAAAATAGGGAGGAGACCATCATTTTAAGTGGCATGGTCAGGGAAGGATGCACAGAGAAGGTGCAATTTTAGAAAATGCCGTGTGGACATAAAGTAAAGAGCAGTTTGGGAAACGCAAATCTAAGGCACGTGGCAGGAGCATGCAAGGGTGTGGGAGGAACTACAAGGCCAGTGAGGCCGGAGGGGAGGGACAGCAGTGGAGAGTGGCAGGAGATGGCAGGTGCAAGTGGTGTGGTCACTGTGAGGAGTGTGACTTCCACTCTGAGCAACATGGGAAGTCATTGGAGGGCTTTGAAAAGAGAAGTGGCTAGGTAGGACTTAGGGTTTTTTTTTTTTTTAATATATATTTTATTGATTTTTTTACAGAGAGGAAGGGAGAGAGATAGAGAGTTAGAAACATCGATGAGAGAGAAACATCGATCAGCTGCCTCCTGCACATCTCCCACTGGGGATGTGCCTGCAACCCAGGTACATGCCCTTGACTGGAATCGAACCTGGGACCTTTCAGTCCGCAGGTCGACGCTCTATCCACTGAGCCAAACCGGTTTCGGCAGGACTTAGGTTTTAACAGGACTACACTGCCTGCTAGGTTAGGAAGAGCCTCCTGGGATGAAGGGCAGAGGCAGGGAGGAGAATACGAGGGCAAATGCAGCAGGCCAGGAGAGATGGTGGACCAGGGTGAGGGCAGTGGAGATGGTGTGTAGCCTAAGTCTAGGTACATCTGAAGGCAAAATAATGAAATTTGTTGACAATGCAATGTGAATGTTGAAAAAAAGACAGGACTTAAGAACGATATCCAGATTTTTGGCCCAAACATCTGGAAGGATGGAGTTGTAATTAGTTGGGAGAGAGAAAATTAGGTGAGGATTTGGGGCTGTAGACATCAAACGGAGGCTAAACAAGCAGATGGATTTATGAGTCTAGAGCAGTGATGGTGAACCTATGACACCTTTGACACGCGAACTCATTAATTTTTCTTTGTTAAATGGCATTTAAATACATAAAATAAATATCAAAAATATAAGTCTTTGTTTTACTATGGTTGCAAATATCAGAAAATTTCTATATGTGACACGGCACCAGAGTTAAGTTAGGGTTTTTCAAAATGCTGACACGCCGAGCTCAAAAGGTTCGCCATCACTGGTCTAGAGTTTAGGCAAGAAGTTTGGGCTGGAGAAGTAAAATTGTAAGTTGACAGCATATAGCTGGCAATTAAAGCCATGCAACTGATGAGATGACAACGAGAATGAGTATAGAAACAGATGAGAAAAGGTCCTTGGTTAGAAGTTAAGGGAGGGGAAGGAGATCCAGCAAAGGTGGCTAAGGAGGAGGGGCTGGTGAAACTGGCAGAAACACATGGAGGGTCTCCTGTCCTAGCGCCCAGAAAAGAGTTATAGCTCCACAATGCTTCATTCAATCGCACTGGAATTTTAATTTCAATATTCACCCTTACAGTCAATCAATATAAATATACAAAAGTACAAACAAAATGTATGTGGTACCTTTTCTAAAATTACATTTAGAAAGACTTTATAGTTCAGAAGAAGAGATTAATTTGTAGAACCACTATCCTTAATTACTTCCATCTCTCAGAGTACGCGTACAAGCCAATCTTTGTGCTATTTAGGTTGAAGATGCAAATGCATCCTTGTCCTCTTTAGAAGGGCATCATTAAAGCCCCTTTCAGAGAAACAATCGCATCTGATTTTCTCTGCACCCGTTAGTGGGGCAGCTTGCCCTTGCCTAAGAGCAGCCCGATTAGCACACAGCCTACAGGAACACCTGGATTCAGGTACTTCGGTTCCAGGAAATGCTCTTCACATTTCTTTATTATAGAAACAACAAGTGGCTGAAACTGGTTTGGCTCAGTGGATGGAGCGTCGGCCTGCGGACTGAAAGGTCCCAGGTTC